TTTCTGGCCTATACCCCAGCTCTCATACACATAAATAAATAATTTTTTTTTTAAAAAGAATAGTATATAGATATCATTTATTTTTATTCCTTATTGATGAATACTTATGTTGTTTCTATTTTTTTCTAGCACAATCTTTGCATGTACGTTATGTCATTGCATGTTATTTATCTAGTTTTACATGCACTTACAGTCAGAAGCTGAGCACTTTTTGCATAGATTTCCGTTTTTACAATTTTGATAGCCAGATAGCTCCTCTAAAGGGCTTTGCCAATTTGTGTCCCACCCACCGTGCATGTTTTGATTATCAGTGATGTTGAGTACCTTTTACCATATTACATGACCTTTAGGATTTCTTTTGTGAATTACCTATTGGTGCTCTTTGTATTAGAATGCTGGATTCTCACCGACCACTTACTGGCCTCCCCCTCTGTGGAAGCCTCTCCCCTTCCCCTGACTAGCCAGATGCTTCCTCTTCCACTGTCCCTCAGCACTGCTTATACAGTCCCTAGGCATTTGTTGGCAGGCATTCCACGATGAGTCTACTCATTCCACCAGCATTCACTGTGAGCTTACTACGTGTTCAGTCTTGGGCTAGGTGCTGCATGAACATCATCACAAGAGCAGATCATCATAATCTCCACTGTTAAGGAGTTGAGTTTTGAAAGGCAGTTTTGGGTATAGAAAAGAGCATGGATTTTATGCCCTGATAAGACTAGGCTTGAATCCCACCTGTGCCATTTAGAGTAAGTCAAAAGACCTTGCCAAATTGCAATTTCTCTACCAGTGAAATTCTGAAAATAGAAGAGAAACAATATATCTGAAGTAGCTAGCAATGGAGTGTTACATAGTAGGTTCTCAGTGAAAGGCAACTGTTAAGAGGTCAATGATTAGTTCTCAGAGGTTCTAATAAGCAATAACAAAAGGAAGTGGCTCCTTTATCTGCAATGATAGGGTAAGGATGAGTAATATAAGCCACTAGTCAAGAACCTGCTACAGTATATCCCTCATCTTGCCTGCCTGCTGTAAGTTTCTGCTTTGTCCTGGCCTTCACCTAAATCAACTGTTTACTGTTGATGTAGTATCAACATTGCCCTGGGGAAAGCAGGTGCTTCCTTCCTCAAATAAATGGACTCTTTAGGATGTTGTCTGTAAGAGAGGCTTCAGAATTCTTGTGCATGTTGCCACCTATGATCTCAAGAAGTGCAAACCACACATAGCTTGAAGTGGAAAAAGAGATTCTGTGTGTGTGTGAACAGAATGGGTGGGGGTGGTTTGGGGGTGGGTGGGGGTGGTTTGGGGAGAGACTTGGAGACCTGGATTATCAACACAGCTCAGCCTCTGTTAAGGCACTCTTGCTAAGTCTCTTACCTTATCGTCTCTAATTTCCCCATAACTGCAACAGAAGACTGGATCTCATGATTTTAAAAAAGTCACCTAAATGAGAACTCACCATATAAAGTCAGGGTGTATGTGTATATCTGTAGTCAGAAATCTATGCATTCTTGGGACCCCTGCAACTCTTTATATTCATCTTAGTTTTACAAAGCACTACATTACATTCCAGCTATTTGAGGTCTTGACATGATTTCCCCATTGAACTGACAGTGTTGGATCCATATTTTGTCCTTGGTTTCCTAGTGCCTACAGGGAGTTAGAACTCCTTCATTTCTTTAACACCTTTGAGTGCTTGTTGTCTGCCTAATATTGTTAGATGGTGAAATTATAAAGAGAAAATGTAAAAACTTCTGCCTTTAGGGAGCCTACAATCAGGCAGAGAGATAACGATAAAACAAATACAATATAATTGGCTGGATAGAGATTTGTCCAAAGTAAGGGAAACCCAGGGGCAGGAATGCCTTCTCTTAGTGGAAGATTTCTCTGAAGACCAGGACTTGAACAGAGTAGAGTGAATATGGATATTTTAGGACAGGAAGGAGTATTTTACAGGCAGTGGAAATGCCCTCTGTAAAGGCACAAATGTGGGAGATCCTAGTATGTTTTGGTAATTTCCTGGGATTCAGCATGGTGTTGAACAGGTAAGCAGCTATCAGTTCAAGAAGTGCCCTTTGTGCCATCCAATGGACTCTAGGTTTTATGACATAACCTAAAGTATTTGTGTTAGGGGGAAATGATGTCCAGAGTTAATCCCATACAGGCTTTGTGGACCCCACCCCCACTCCAGACTAAAGCCATCAAGACATTGGGAAAGACAAATCCCATCACCACCAAGGGAGGGTGGCTGGGACCTGAGGGTGGAGTTGGGCAGCCAGGTTGGATATAAAAACCAAACACGTGGGCCTTGGTCTCTCTGGCTCGTGATCGCTTGCCTCCTGGCTTCACCTCTCCTGGCTGGCGGCCAACTCTGAGAGCGCCGTTTTGGGATTCCTGATGGGCGGATTAGGTAGGACTCATTTAAAATTTTGTCTCCCACTTTTCTCCCAGAGCTGTACATTTCCTCATTTCCCCTTCCCTTGTAAATAAACCTTTTATTAACCTTTCGCGTGTGCCTGCAGTAGAGCATTGATAAGTCCTTTTAAGCGCGTGGGTGAGGACCCACAGTCAGGCACCCCGTTTTGTATCGGGGTTGCTCTACAACATTTGGAGAATTAGCAAATGCATGAGTAATAGTGGGAGGACTGGGCACAGTAATTTAGGAGAATTTCCTAACCTTGTGAACCTTGGGCAAGTTACTGACCTCTCTGAACCTGTTTCCTTTTCTGTGAAATGGGAATTTAAAAAAATCAGCCACAGGGCCTCCCCGGTGGCGCAGCGGTTGAGCGCTGGGTTGCGAAGCTGCCCGTGGCCTCTGCGGCGCCGGCTGCTCCCCGGCCACCAGAGGACGGTCCCACATGGCGCGCAGACCTCTCCTGCCGCCCGCTGCTCTCAGCAGTGTACCTCGGTCCTTCTGCCTGCTCTGCTCCCCGCTCTGGCTCTGGTGAATTCTCTCACCCTCCCGCGCTTCTGACTGTACCCAGTGCATGTATAAACAAAAACAAACAAAGAAAGAAAGAAAGAAAAAAAAAAAACATGCCTCTATAAAAAAAAAAAATCAGCCACAAAGGGCTGAAATTTAAAAGACCTTATATATGATACACTATGGGAGTAAGGCTGGCACTTGATAAAAGCTAAGTAAAATTTTTAAAGAAGACAATATTTAATACACACCCATTATCTGAACATTCTAGTGATCTATTACCCATTTCTTTTTTTTTTTTTAAGATTGATTTATTTATTTATACAAGCACTGGGTACAGTCAGAAGCGTGGGAGGGTGAGAGAATTCACCAGAGCCAGAGCGGGGAGCAGAGCAGGCAGAAGGACCGAAGTACACTGCTGAGGGGAGCAGCGGGCGGCAGGAGAGGTCTGCGCGCCATGTGGGACCCTCCTCCGGTGGCCGGGGAGCAGCCGGGGATGGAACCGGCACTGCAGAGGCTGCGGGCAGCTTCGCAACCCAGCGCTCAACGGCTGCGCCACCGGGGAGGCCCTATTACCCATTTTTAGCCTGTTTCCTACTGTGCAAAAATGGGTCCTCTAATTTTACCTTTTCATTATATTCTCTTTCTTCCTAGCAGTTGACATTTCCAATCTTTTTCCTGGCCCAACTCTTAAGGCTATGATCAAATAAATTATATTCTGTTTTACGTGCTAGACACTTCGTTCTCTGAGATCAGACTTAAATTTTTTCACTATATCCACAATTGGCTGGCACTGTCCACTTCTTAACAGATGGTCTATGAATGCTGGCAAACAGAACCAATGTTGAGCTTATGTTTCAGGACCCTTGCTAAGGACCAACGAATTGATAAAGTACTTCAGTTAGGGGGAAATGATGCCCTGAGCTAATCCCATACAGGCTTTGTGGACCCCACCCCCACTCCAGACTAAAGCCATCAAGACTTTGGGAAAGACAAATCCCATCACCACCAAAGGGAGGGTGGCTGGGACCTGAGGGTGGAGTTGGGCAGCCAGGTTGGATATAAAAACCAAACACGTGTGCCTGCAGTAGAGCATTGATAAGTCCTTTTTAAGCGCGTGGGTGAGGACCCACAGTCAGGCACCCCGTTTTTAATCGGGGCTGCCCTATAACACTTCGATATTAGCAAAGTTGTACAGATCGGTATATTACTGCTAAATATTAAAACAAGGCGAGAGAAGAGGAACCTAAGCCAGAAGCTCCTAACACAATCCTGTAGCATCCAAGAAAGTGACTTCCAAGGACCAGTATTAACTTTAATCTTTAGTAAGAGCTCTTCAAGACTCACAAAGCGTTAAATCTGTTGCTTTGTAGTCAAGAAAAAGCGAGCCGGAAGCACCTTGGGGTGAGTCAAGTTCAACTTCAACCCAAAGGTGGAAGCCTAGCGCACAGAAGCAGCTAGACACCAGACAGCCTTAAAGAAGCTTCTCCTTTGCTGGGGGTCCCCTGCCCGAGGCAGGGCTCGGTTCCCACGCCACGTGGCTCCGGGACAGTGTCCCAGACCGCGAGGGAGGAGGTGGAGCGAGCGCTGAAGCCAGCCCAAGGGCATCACGGAAGCTGTAGTTTTTCTCGCAGGCACAAGATGCGAGCCCCCCACCCTGGTTTTGCCCATTAAATAACATCTATTCCGTGCAAATCATTTAAAGAGCCCCCCATTACAGATGCATCCTAGGTAGCATCTATAAAGAAGCTGAAAAGAAGCCGTGCAGGGGAAGGGGCGAGGCAAGGTTGGTAAAGCAAAAGATGAACTGCTCGCGGGGCAGAGAAAGGGTTAACAGCTGCTACGCATGCGCACAGAGAGCAAGGCGGGTGGGCGGAGACGGAAGACGACTCCTGGGAGCCGTGTTTTCCCCGGAAGTGCCTTCCCTCCTCTCGGGTCCGCGCGGACGCGGTTTCCTTACCTCATTTGTCCTCGCCCCTCCCCGTCCCTCTACGCGTTTTGGTTCCTGGTTGGTGCTTCCTGGTCGCAGCTGCGGCAGTGAGTATGTGTGTGACGGACCCCTCGCCGCCCGCGGCCGGGGACCCCTCGCTCGCCGGGCTGTGGAACTAACGAGTGTCCCCTGGCCGGCTCCTGCGTCCCCCGTCTGTACCCCACTCTTGGCGGGGTGCGGCTTGTGGCCCCTCCGTCTAGCTCTGCTTCACGCGATTTGGCTGACCTTTTGGGGTGTCCACTTCACTATGTCCGATCAAGGCCGAAGGCCGTGGTTCAAAAGGGCTGGGTGTCCCTGGCCCCGATGGGCGTGGAGTTTCTGCCGATTTTACCTTCGCCACCTCCCGAGTACTCTGTCTGGTTTAGGGAAACTGATCAGTATGTTAAACGCGGAGGTCTCCCTGCTCTGAGGGTGAGGGCCGAACCTTCCTGGGCCAACTTCAGCCTCTGTTGTTAGAAGCAGCAGCGGCAGCTGTAAGGCCAGGACAATTTCAGGAGATGTGCACCTTTTTCCAAGTAAAACAAGAAGACTAGGACAGTGTTCTCTAAGATTCCTTTTATCCCTGACATCCTGTGAGCGGGCAGTTAACTTCAACTTTAAGGAAGAGCTGCCGGTGCAGAGGGAAAACGCTGGGAGTCAGCAGGCCAGAGATCTGCTCTGGCTGGGGACCTAGAAATCTCTTCTTTAGGCTGCGTCTACCTTAATTTCAGCTTACAGGGTTGAATTCGATCTTTTAGGGGCCTTTAAAACTCAATGGATAAATAAACTTTTCAGAGCCCAATTCTCGATGTGTAAAGTAAGTTTTGAATTTGACGACTCAAGTTCCTAACAAAGCTCTTGAATCTGTGTTTTGAATACTTCAGGCTATCACGTCCAAAAATGTTTTAACTGTGTGTATGTTTACGATGATGTTATGCTTTTGGAATTGTTCAGCCCTGCTGTTTTCAAGAGAATTGGAGGATGAGGAATTAACTGAATAGGAAATGGAATTGAGGGCTGTAAAAATAACTGGCTACAAGGAAAAAGGAGGGAAAGGTGAAGGAAGTGTTTTTAGATAGGATTAGTTCTCATAAAAGACTTTATATATATATGTATATACACACACATATGTACATATGTATATATATCCCAAGAACAGCTGACAGGTCTGAATAAATTTAGCATAATTTTCTCCCACCAAGCTCTTGTGTTCTGTGTTTCTCTTTTTTGATGACCATTGTTTGATACATTTGGATTCTCTACCCTAGTCAGATTTCCTTCAAAGTGTAAGTCAGATTTGAAGAATGGACAGGAATTTTAACACTGGATATTTTAAAAGTGTTTCAGTCTGTCACTGTGAGGATGGTACACTAAGTAAATTTTAACTTGAAAATAAACTTTGTCCGTAATCACTTTCCCAGGAAAACTGGGTTTAAAATCAGCCTGTGGATTTGATTCAAATCTATTGGATAAGATATGTATATCTATATCTCAAGAAGAAACATCTAGGATAAAGTTCTTTAGCAGGAAATAACATACTGTCAGGGATGAGCAGTAGGAAGGCTGTTAGAGTGGAAGTGTTGGCTTTACAGACTGTGAAATCTGAAATTTTACAAAATTGAGTGAATGGGTACCACTCTCTCTTTTGAATGAGAACCATTGCAGTTATTCTCTATAGGTGTTTTGTATTTGTTAAACCATTTTTATTCTTTAGATAAGTTTCAATCCCAAACCGATTTCTTAGGTTATTTCAGAAGAACCATCTTTTTTTGGTCATGGGATTGCTTTAATCAGAGTATCAACTTGGGAGGTCTTGGACTGTGAACTGACAAATTCAAATTACACTTTTCTTTCCAACTGAAATACATCTTTCATAGTTTTAACACTCTACTGAGAAGTAAAATGTATATTTGTGAGGTAAATTTAGGTGTTCAAATCATTGCAAATTAAATTGGAGGAAGGTTTTTCAAATTGAAAACATTTAAAAAATTTTATTTTAAAGTTTTAGTGAATCCACTTGGCATCACTTCTAGCTTGTTCTTAGCAAGCTACAGAATCTTGGGTAGGCCTCCTTAACAATTTGGACCTCAGTTTTCTTACATATAAATTGAAGTTTTATAAGCTGTCTTTCAGGTTTAAAATTTTGTGACTTCCATAGAGACCTTTTGTTGTCCATTTAAGTGTGCTTGAGAATTATGTACAGTGACCAAAAAGCTGAGAGCCTTCTGAGTCTGTCTATCTACATTTATTTCAGATTCATCTTCCCAATATACACTTAAAACAAAAGTAAAGTAAATGCATTTGAGTGTAATTAAAGTAATAACATAAACCCAAAACAGCCTCACGCAAATCCTAACCTTGGCATACATAAGCTATATAAATAGAAGAGCAAGTTATGCTAAGTACAATTTTCAAGTACAGAAGGTACAAAATCCTCTTAAGGGCCATGGGGGCTAAACTGTTAAATTCATTTTTCTACATTTCAGGGAAAGAGATAAACCCTTAGACTCAAGGAAGTCAGTTTTTATTATATTTCTGTAGTTTATTTTTGGCATACATTCACAGGTGTGCCTATGGCTCTATTCTTAATCCCTTTCTTTTGGGATGCCTCCAAGAGTAGTACAAATTTGTAATTCTGTAATTTAGCTCTTTAATTTTTTCTGTGCTGCACCAGAATTATGTTTTATCTTAAGTCCACACTGGATCCTCAGGATGGATCCAGTAAGGATTTTGAAGGAAACCTAATTCCTTTGACTTCTTTTAGAATTAATTTACCTATTAAATAAAAAGGAAAGGATTCATCTTTTATTGGAATTCCTCTGAGGCTAACATTTCAATATAAACTGATAAATGCTATGAGCATTATTATTCAGATAGCCACATTCAACTTGTACCACAACAACAGCATAGCAACCTAAAGGACATTACAAGAAAGGAACAGGTATTTTATACCTTTTAAAAGAAAAAAAGAAAGACTTGAAAAGTTGTATTCTTTCCAACTTTATTGAGATTTAATTGGCAAATTATGTAAATTTCACTTGTACAGCATGATGATTTGATCTACATATATATTGTAAAATGATTACCACATTAGTTTACCGTTACCTCACAGTTTTACATTTTTGTGTGTGTGGCTATTGGCAGATTCCAGGTATATAGTGCTGTTATTAATAACCAGTTACTCTGTGTGACTTTGAGGGAGTTATCATTTAACAAAGTGCTTATAGTTCCTGTCCTTCTGGGGTTTGTGATCTGTGCTTGTACGAGATTTTTATTGAGTTATTAGAAATCTGGTTAGTGTTTTGAAATGTAAAGTGCTATGGAAGTGTATAGAGAGGACATTTAGTCTTGTGGGTCAAAGAAAGCTTTCTTGAGGAAGTGATGTTTAAGCTGAGTTGAAGTTAAGCAAGATTTGTTATGATCACAGTAAGATGGCAAAATATTCCTAAAGCTAGGCGTTTTGCCTCAATTTTAGGTTTGTAGTAAGTTTGTATTTTATACACATCTTTATAGCTCTCATGGAAGTAAACCAGGTTTATCAGATATTTTTATGTATTCTTTGGGTCAAGGATCAGGGGGCCATTAGGTTAATTTTCAATTGAGAATAAAAATATCACATCAAAATATAAGATATGATTGTTGTTACCTATTGTGGGTTCTATTCATAGTTGGAGTAATATTCATGTTTGAGAATTTATACCTGAAAAGAAAAAGTACAGAACCAGAACAAGGAAAAAGATGAAGAGTGAATAGACTAGTGAGAACTACCAAAAATATTTTTGCAGTTTTTTTGGAGAGAAAGTGGTATCTGAAACAGTGGCTCAACTTGTTTTTCCTTCAAACTTACCTGTGAAGTATGACCTTTTCATTAATAACTATACCTCAACTTATTAGTAATTTTTATTTGTCAGGTGCCATCCATTATTAGAGCAGGTCACAATAAAATTTAGAATCCTTGAAAGAAAGGTACTCTGATAGACAAAGGTATCTTAATATGTCATTAAGAAAAGTGATGTCCTTCACATGTAAATTAGGTGTAAAGGGTGCTACCAGGTATGATCTGAGCTTTTAAAAATATATTCTTTGTATTACTTTCTCTTTTGCAGCATCAAGGTTAATTTCCATGATGTTTGGTGGTTATGAGACTATAGAAGCATATGAAGATGACCTTTACCGTGAAGAGTCATCTAGTGAACTGAGTGTTGATAGTGAGGTGGAATTTCAACTCTACAGCCAAGTTCATTATGCCCAAGATCTTGATAATGTCATCAGGGAGGAAGAACATGAAGAGAACTCTGGGAATTCTGCATCATCCAGTAGTAAATCAAATCAGAAGAACTTAATTATCCTTTCAGATAGTGAGGTCATCCAGCTATCAGATGGGTCAGAAGTCATCACTTTGTCTGATGAAGATAGTATTTATAGATGTAAAAGAAAGAATTGTAGAGCCAAAACAAAAGAAAAGAAACAAGGTTCTCCTGCTTCTCTTTGTTCTGATGAATTGGCTGATCAGAAATGCAAGAGGGATGTTGACAAACCTAAACCCCAGGGGAGATCAGAAAAGATCCGGGAGGTGATGATTATAGAGGTCAGTTCAAGTGAAGAGGAAGAGAGCACCATTTCCGAGAGTGATAACGTGGAAAATTGGATGCTTCTGGGATGTGAAGTTGATGATAAAGATGATGACATCCTTCTCAACATTGTGGGATGTGAAAACTCTGTTAATGAAGGTTAGTATCATATTGGCCATTTTGAAAAGTAGTATCATCTTTAATAAGGAAGACTGCTTTCCCTAAACAAAAGACCAATAGGGTCTCTGCTCCATTTAGTCTCTCACCTTTTGGTCTTGTGTTATGGCTTGTTTCTCGTGAGACTCTCTTACCAATGGCAACTCTAATGGTGGTCTGTCTGAACTCAGAAAGAGTATGTCAGAATATCAAAGACACTCTGCTTCTGCCATAAACATATTTATAGCTGCTTCTTCCTGTTTGGCTAGAGCCAGTTCTGGACCTGAAATCTTAGTTTCCCTCTCTCTCTGCTTGGTACCACAGGTGAGTACTCCATCTATCTGCATAGGTCCTGTGTCCTCATTCGGCCAATTCTGTTGGGACCACCTCTTCCTTAGTCATTTGCTTTCTCAAGAGTTAGGCAGATAGCAAGCATGGGGAATGCCAGGTACACACAGGATATAGAATTAGGATTTTAGGAACTCTATAGTCAGTAAAATTAGTAATTTATGAAGAACTGTAAGTCTGTAGTAGACTGTAAGAGAGAATGTAAATTCCGATAACCACATCATTGAGGATTAAAATTTTGGTATTACCATTATCTCCTTTGTCACATATAGTCATTGAGTCTTGATGCTTATTCCTTTAAAAACTTCCTTTTCTGGAAAAATCTAGTCTCTGGCAATAGTTTCTTAAATGATCTTTTTATTTTCCCTGCACACTGTTGTTGAACTAGTAGTTTTGAAATGCTCATGGTACTTTGCTGAAATGCTCAAAGTACCCAGGGTACTTTGATGGCACCCACTTAGAGGAAATGATGACATTGAATGTAGGTCATGCTTTCGAACCCCTGAGACTGACCAACAGTTTTTTATTTTTGAAGTTAAATAAAAAATATTTAGATTTCCAAGCTAGAGGATGTCCTGACCACTTGTCTTTTGCTGTTGTGGAATAGCAGCCGTAATAACTAAAGAAATGGGATGCTAATCAGGGTTTACTCTAAGAATTTGATTGCAAAGAGAAGAAAAGAAGTAAAACAGTCACTAGAACATAGAGCAGAATTGGGCCAAGTTTTGGTAGAATAAAGGAAATCCAATAATGTTTTCAGGGTGGAAGAGATAAAAGTTTTTGAAGAGGAGAGATTAAACCTGTTTGGTAGATTGGGGTGGGGAAGGCAATTAAGAGATGGGATCAAGGGTGTGTGTGTGTGTGTGTGTGTATAGAGAATTAGTTTTATAGAGAATTAGTTTTAAAAGAGAAGACACACAGCATTGATTGCCAATTTATCAAATATCTATAGAAGTAGAGAAGAATGAAATCTGTTGGAGAGGAGTGAATGAGGGAATATATGAGGATCTGTGTGTGACTCTTGGGGAAATGAAAGTGGGAGTAGATGTGGGCAGGGGATACTTGGAAACTTAGAGTGTGGAAAGGATTTTAAGAGCTCTGGGGGAGTGACTCCCAATATCTTGAAGGTGATAACAACTAACTAACTTAAACAATATTGAAAACTGAAATTATTTCCGAAATAACTTGATTAGTTGTATTTTTAATATTGTTAATTGAGAAAATGCATGTTAACAAAAAGCTATTATTTGGTAATCTCTTACATGACTTTGTATTTTATGAACTACAACATTGTGCACTTGAAAAATATTCATCCTTATAAGGAGGATATTGCATATATATATACACATTCTTCATGCCTCTGGGTTACCATTGTATTAACTAATTCGGCAGCTCCTTTAGTACTTTGAAGATAATACGTTGGAAATCATTGTGTTAGTCAATCAGCAATAAAACAAAAGAATTGCCTAGCATTAGTATTCAGTCAAAATTGAAACAATATGAACTTGTAGAACTTATTTTTAAGAATTTTATAACTTTTCCCAGTAATACGTGGTTCCTGGAGCAAGATGACAGAAATCTAATGATCCAGTGTTAGGAAGAAGGTAGCAGAATGTCACGCAACTGGTTCCATCAAACACTAATGTGTTCATAATGATAAAACATTTTTTAAATTCAAGTTCCACATGCCTACCTTGCTGAATATTTCCATTTGAGTATCTTATTTTTCATTTCAGATTAATACTACTGTAAAGCTTGGTACATTGAAAAGAAAGCTTATCTTTCTACCGTAAGAGGACCAGGTTAACTGGGAGGCAACTCACAGGAGAACTGGGGTTTGTCAGGTCAGATGAAAGGGAGTTTTGTAGGGTAGTAAGGATGAGGTAGTTGAACCATATGGAAATGAGAATTGTACAAAGAGGGACTGATGGATTTAGTCAGTTATGTCTTATAGGAATGAAGAAAAGAAGGTTAGTAGTCAGGTATATACAGAAATCTAGAAAACAACTTTAGTATTTTATGTTATAAACAGACAATAAAGACATGTCTGGCTGTAATTCACCTGCTTTTTTTGGGAGGTGGAATATTTGTATTTATTGAGATAAAATTAACCTAATATAAAATTAACCATTAAAGTGTTCAATTTGAAAAAAAAAAATGTGTTCAGTTTGGTGACATTTAGTATATTCATAATGTTGTGGAACCATAACCTCTCTCTAGTTTCAGAACATTCCCAGCGTATCGAAAGGAAACTCCTGCATTCATTGAACAGCCATTCTCCATCTACCCCCCTCCCTCAGACCATGGCAACTACTAATCTGCTTTCTGTCTCTGGATATATCTATTCTGAATATTTTATGTAATAGAATCATCTAGTATGTAACCTTTTGTTTCTGCCTTATTTCAATTATCATAATGTTTTGGGAAGTTTATACATATTGTGGTATGTATCAGTCCTCTTTTTAAAGGCTGAATCATATTCCATTGTATGACTAGACCATTTTTGTTTATCCCTTCATCTGTTGATAGACTTTTGGTCGTTTCCATGTTTTGGCAATTACAGTGTTTCAGTGAACGTTCATGTATAAGTATTTATCTGAATACCTGTGTTGGGAGTGGAATTACTGGTATTTTTATGTTTCATTTTTGAGGAACCATCTTTTCCCATAGTGGCTGCAATATTATATATCCCCACCAGTAATATATCCCCCGTAGACTTCCAATTAACTGCATTGTTTTTTATGATGACATGTCATGTTGCACATTTATTTGATTTGTTCATTGATTCCATTATTTCTACAGTTTTTTTCTCCCAGTATTTTGTTTTTCATAATTTTTACTTATTTTGGTTTATGTTTTTCTAGAATGGCTATTTTTGCATCATATTTTCCTTACATGTTTTCATCTGTTGATAGTTTTTAAAGAAACTGTTTCATTCTTATAGGTATGTATTCCTTGAAATTTTAGTGCACCTGTGTGTGTATAAATTTATGCCATTTTTTTCTGCAATATTAGTAAAACTATTTGATATAAGACCTAAGTACTTCCAAGTTCTTTGTATATCCCTGTTACCCATATTGAAATTTATCCCTATTCTAGGCTCCTAGGGTTTTTTGTTTCAGCCAAATTTAAACAAGGTCTGCAGTTCTGCAGATTAGCTTGCTTGATTCTTAAAAACTTTTGATTCTTATAAACTTTTATATAAAGTATTCATATATTCCTTAATTTTATTTCCTTGATCTGCTAATGCCATAATCCTATTTCTTTCCAGTTAATAGACAATATATTTAGTACTGATGTCTATTTGAGTGTGTTGTTATTTTCTAGTCATTATCATTCCATTCATAAATAGATTTGGGAATAAATCTGGTTCAGTTTATATAATAATTTTTGGAGAAAGGATTTTTTTCATGTCAGTGGAAGTTTTTGGAAATTCTGGCACACTTTTGAAATAATTGTTAAACAGAAGCAGTAACATTTTGTATACTGTTCCCTCAATCCCCCAAATAATGTCATGTTTAAAATGTTAATAAGAGATTGCAAACTCCTTGAAGGCAGATCTTTTCCATATTCAAAAGTCTCCTTATAATATTTAAAGTCATTTCTTGACAATACATCACTTTGTTTTCCAGTGATTGTTAAAATGATCAAACTGAGCATCTGTTCTATGTAAAGTACGGTTAGTATTGCGGATTTAAAGTGGTAAGAGATAATTTTAACCCTAAGTGATTAGTGTTTCATTGAACGATAGAATATAATAAACTAAGTAATTTATTGGAAGCACCTTCTTAATCATGGGAATTAAATCTCTCAAGTGTGGTTGAAAACAACACCGTATAAAAAAATTGGATTAATGAATTTGAGGTAGTACAGGAATGTATGAAAGACTTTATAAGTTCATATGTGTTTCCCATTGACTATTATTAAGTCAGTAGTAATGAGGTCAGTTCAGCATCATTGTTGCTCTGTGTAAACTTCAGGCTCTCCCTTACTACTTTAGTGTCAGTGAGATGATTACATATTTGTTTTGTTTCAGCATACAATTAGATAGTACACAATCAGAAAGGTAAAACACAATTTTCCTTTCTATTATTATAAATATTCAGTACTTTTCCTATTTTATATTTGAAGTTGTTGATTAACTTTCTAAGGAACCATTGAGGATTAAACACGAGTTAGCCAGGCCTTCCTCCATAGATACAGTTTTATGATGTTTCTTTTTTTTTTAAAATTTTTTTTTTTTTTTTTTTTTTAATTTTCTAGAGGCATGTCTTATTTATTTATTTATTATTTGTTTGTTTGTTTGGTTTATACATGCACTGGGTACAGTCAGAAGCGCGGGAGGGTGAGAGAATTCACCAGAGCCAGAGCGGGGAGCAGAGCAGGCAGAAGGACCGAAGGACACTGCTGAGGGGAGCAGCGGGCGGCAGGAGAGGTCTGCGCGCCATGTGGGACCCTCCTCCGGTGGCCGGGGAGCAGCCGGGGATTGAACCGGCTGCAGAGGTTGCAGGCAGCTTCGCAACCCAGCGCTCAACTGCTGCGCCACCGGGGAGGCCCTATGATGTTTCTTATAGCAAATTCATGCCAAAACGATGGCCTTCGGTGCCTATTTCCTTTGGCTCTCAGCTCTCTCTATTGAAGGATGTAGGTCTTTA